AAGGTGGGGTTGATGGATTTTTACTTATAACGTCATCTTCCGTAACCATAGTAACTGACCATCACTAAACTTGTCTCAAAAGACGCGCGAGGAATAAACAAACAGCTAATGACAGCTACTGATATTTTAGCGCCCAGGAAAAGATAAAAAACCTCAGAGGGGGGTGGCAATCACCCCCTCTCCCCTTGTAAAATAAATTGTTATTCATTCAAAATATTTTCCCGATTCTGATTGGCTAAAAGAGCACGTTTAATTCACCATAACCAGTTACTGATGACCAAATTTGGAAGAATTTTGTGTTTAACGAGGAAATGACGTCAAAAATGCAGCGTTGTCACAGGCTAAGGCATCGTTAACCGAGAAGACCTGGGGACGAGGTTGAGTTGTTTTGGTTGTGAACTTGAAAAAATGGCGGAAATTTCACTCGTTTCAAGAGTAAGAACTAGGCGAAAAAATAGCTAAAAACATGGCAAGAACAACAAGAAGACAACTCGAAAGGCGACATTTGCTATTTGGAGAATATTTGCGGAGCTGGACAAACCTAAACGTGGACTATCGAAGATAAACTTAACATCGATGGATCGATGGAGGTAAGCATGTTTTAGCCATGTTTTAAAACTAAGAATTATTTTGAATGAATAATAAAACAATTATTGAATTCGGCTTTCGTATCATATGAAGAATTATGGAGATCGAGGAGGGTGTTATCCGTCGAGGCCGTTGGCCGAGGCGGGTAACACTTTCCTCGATCTCCATAATTCTTCATAAGATACTCAGCCTCATTCATTAATTGTTAAATAAAATAAAGACCAAATACATAATCACGGTCGTGGTTGGTTAAAATGGATCGCCTTTGACACGCACGTGCACGCAACTAGAAAGGAAAAAGGGTTATAGAATTTGGTTAATTCCTATTGGGGTCAACCGTTGTCGCTTCGTTGGTTTCGCTGTTTCTTTTTTCTGTGTATGTGTGTTCTGTTGGTGAAAAAACAGTGCGTAGTTACTTTGGTTGATCAAGTTTTTCAACAAACTCAGAACTTGAATAGAAGGGTTGAAAACTATGGGTATCATCTACTGCTCCGTTGTAGGGATCGATTTTCAAGTGCTGTCATTTTTCTGCGTCAGCCTTTCCAAAAAGTTACCAACAAACGAAAACGGAGATTTTTACGCAAATTCAAAATCACTCTTTACAAATAGAGCGTGAAAAGAATCACTTCTGCATTGGTTTTAAATATTTTTTGCTATTAGAAGGGGACAAAGCATCTTCTGATAACTCGGTACTGGTTTTGAGAGTGCACTGAGTAAACTTAAAAACTGAATGAATGACAATTCAGGTCATGCAAAGCGTTTTGCTCACCAACTTACTTGTATCGAGTTCTTTAAGGAAGGTGGGACGCTGAAACATAAACCAATCATTTATTCAACTTCTTTTTTCAAGGTATCCAAGCAGCCAATGCCAAACAAGGTTTCTGTGGAGAAATTTATAACAAGAGTACTTGATTTGGCAAATCGTTTGGCATTACCACAAAGGATTGTGGAATTTTGTGGCACCTTTCCAATTTACATGGCTGAAGAAATTCCGACGGACGCAATAATTGCAACATTTTACAAAATACAAGGTAAGAATACCAAATGGCTATTTACGCCTGATAATACGTCCAATTTTTCGACGTAAATACGGCTATTCGCTACTGGTACAATCGTCCCTGCTGCTGCTGCTGCTGCTGCTGCTACTACTACTACTACTATTAGATGATGATGATGATGATGATGATGATGATGATGATGATGATGATGATGATGATGATGATGATGATGATGATCTACTACTACTACTACTACTACTACTACTACTACTACTACTACTACTACTACTGCTACTGCTACTACTACTACTACTACTATACTACTACAGCTACTACTACTACTATACTACTACAGCTACTACTATTACTGACTACTATTAACACTACTACTGCTAGCCTCCAACAAATTTAGCCAGGGATAAAAGCGAATCTCCTATTGAAAAATGTTTTATTTAAATCAAACAAAAATTTTGTAATCCACAAACCAGGTAACTTTAGGGCAGATCCATTTGACTTTTGGGGGAAAAGCTATGTTAGAGAAAAAAAAATTGAAAACAGGCCAAGAATGAAACAAATCTTACATCGAGTTAATAGTCTTATAAAAGTGGCAATCTTGCACCTTTTATCACAGGCTAGGCTTGGACGACAAATTCTTCCCGAATAAAATAACGCAGTAGCCCACTGATGCACACTACCTTTAATTTATAAGGTTATTTGGCTGACCAGAAATATAATTTTATGCCTTTAAGCAGGTTATAAGAAACGATACAGTATATTACCCAGTGTCTTGCCACTTCAGTTTAATATTGCAATAACTTTCCTGGTCGCAAGAATTCTGAAATTTTGCCCAGAGATAATCTATTTAGTCCTTAATATGACGAAAGACAGTTTGATTTTGTTGCCTTTGTTTCCATCGCGAAATTAAAATTTTTGCAGAACCCCTACTTCCTTTATCCTTTTTCCTATTTCCTTTATCCCGAGTTTCCACTAATAAAGGTTAAACTCGGGATAAAGGAAATCGCTTAAATCGCAACGGATCGGGAAAATAACCACTCAGGAAGCAAAAAGACACCAAGTAAACAAGGTAAAGCGTATTTTATTGAAAATTCATGCGAGTATTTATCTTCTCGAATCTATTACCAGAATTCACGTACAAATCCTCTAAGACGACGGCCGTTTTGAAAATTACACAACCGCACATACTCTCATATTGAGCCTGGGCCGCACGTGATGACTGGGGTATAGTGGGGAAACTACACGAGCGACTGTTGAATGGTATTGTTCTTACTTCCTTGTCTAAGAACTTTTTCACTCGGAACGCATCCGTGGACAAGCCAAAGCCGTGGTTTGCAGCTCAATTAGCCAATCTGCGAACCGTGTTTTTTTGTTCATTGTTTGATAAAAAAGAAAAAAAAAACTCTTCCGGCTGTCAAAGGTTACTCTCCTAATTTAGTCTGACCTCAGTGTTGGTTTCTTCATGCCAAGTCCCTATAGTTGGGCTGCTTTTCTTGCACTAATTCCTCCTTCTTTCACATCTCTCAATCCCTTTGAGAAATTTTTCAGACCGTTGTAACCCCATTCAAGCAGTCACAGCTGAGATTTCCTGGTTCAACTCCAGTTCGCAGTCACGCGAAACAAGCCATGCACACGAAATCTAGTCTCCTATGAATGTCCGGATAATATGCGCAGCTACGTCATTGATTCTACACAGCAAAAAACAAAATAAACAAAAAGTAGACGGGGCCGGATAATGGGCACCTGACATCAATGCTTAGTGAATGCTTCTGGCCTCCGTTACTAGTGTTCCAAACAAACTGAATTTCAAGAAGAATTAAACAATTTTCTGACAACCTGACTTCTTTAAGTATCTTCACTATAAATAGAAAAAACCCAGTTTCTTTGAAAATATCAATATTACCAACCACTTTTAAACAACTAGTTTTACTGCGCAGTAAACAGCGTAAATATACGAGCACTGTGGGATGCGTCACGGCAGAGTCGATCGCTGTTTTGACGATAAGAACATCTGCATCACCCTCAGGTTGCAACGTGCTACAGCCACTTTCTGATAAATGGCGCTGTAACATGGCAATGAACCGCTTCTTGTTCTCTGTGTTGGCAAGGAATGCATCTTTCTTAGCCGTCACTTTCATCCAATCTTGGAAGGTTACGGTTGCACTCCCCTTTCCTGCTGAGCGCCTCTGGTGGGTCATACTCTTGGTCGACGGTTCGCTGCCATAGCCATCAAACACCACTGTTGCTTGGTTACCGTACCTTCTCAGAACGTGCTAGCAGTACAGGCGACACACTACCTGGTTTGTTATTTGCTGTGGCCATGAAACCCGGCGAAGGGAAGCACCTCCGTCGAAGAATATAAGTTACTCACCTGACAAAGAAAGCAAAGAAGACGAGATTTGACGAGACAAACACCGGCGAATTGTGTCTGGACTGAAATGTGTGTTCCGACAAACGCCGGCAAATTAGTAATCCGCTGTACTGTAAATTTTGGCGGCCAAATTACCGGGTTATATGATAAGGCAACACCAAATTTAGCCTTTCAATTAAAAGAGGAAATGCATTTTCTTTGCTTGCTAAGACTTTCTTTATTTCTTGTTTAACTACGACTTTAAAACTTTTCTTCTCTCGCATAGATCTTATTATATTATTGTAAAATTTTAGCAGTGCGCGTTTGTATTTTACGGCACAAAACTGTGCATTTCCAGCCCCACTCCCCCAATAAAAATTACTCCAGATGCATTAATAGTCCTTTATTATTAAATATAAGGATGTAAATAACTACGTTTCATCTTTATGATGAATTATAGTCATGATTTGTGCGGTATTTTAGTAGGTATTCGGACGACTTATGATCAGCCTCGTTTCCATGCAGTGAAAGACGCAGCGATCAACAGATCCAACAAAATCCAGTTTTTCGAAATGTTGCCATACTGGGATTTTTGGGGGCTTTTGATATGCTATTAAGCAATAAATTCTGAGTCTAAAACCGTCGAGATTTCTTTTGTGGGAATTTGTCCATGACTGGACTACTGGCGTGGCAACTGTTTCCTATCGCGTTATTGCGCGAAAGTTAATTGGTTCATGCGTCACTGTACTGTACTTAAAGGTTTTTAGAAGTTCTGTAAAAGTAAAAATCAGTTTCACTTCCGAATATAATGTTGCAGTTCAGACCAAAGCATTTGTAGTGACCCGGGTTTGTTGACCTTCATGCTGTCCCTCCAAACGATACCAAAAAGTTTTGTGGCCGCATATTGCACCAAGTTATTTCGCTCTGCTAGAACATGGCGAATTAATGAGTGATATGATTTAAAATTGAACTCTCTTCTGATGCTCTGTAAAAGGTCGCTTGCAAACGTTTTTTCATAATCCTCCCTGGTCGTGTAAGTGTACGTAAGGTTAAATCTTGTCATAGCCACCTTTACTGGACCCCTGGTACAATGAAGAACATCCAGATCTTACGCCTTGACATGTAAACACAACTCCATCCTGAAAAGAGAGGATATTTCAGAGACTGTAAGAGTGGGGGTAAGGACGAATCCTTAGAAGAGCAGTACTAATGCAAAGTACAAAAGTAACTTGTGGCTAGATTTCGCCCCATGTACGGAAGACAGTCTTGGATTCTGGATTCCATGCCGTGGATTCTGGATTTTAAGTACTGGATTCTGGATTCCAATCGTTTGAGTGGGATTGCGGATTCCGTGAGCTGTATTCCAGTTTCCAAAGTCCAGGAATCCGGATTCCACAGCTAAAACTTCCTGGTTCCGTGTTCCATGGGTTAAACGTTAAGTAATACCTTGGTAAAGTCGGCTTCTATTTACCTTAACAAGAGATGGAATTCCAGCCCAGAACTCGAAATTAGGTATCACCTCTGGCACACTTTCTACTCCCATTTTGTATCTTTTAATAAGAATTCCAGCAATTAAATAAACAAGAAGCAATGCGAAAAACCTGAAAAAAAAAAGATGTAAAAACATTAGGCAAGTAGAACAAAATAGTAGCCTGGGAATACTGCCCTTTCTAATCTTTCCTAGTCCCTGGAGGATGAAGACGTTGCTGAAAAGATGAGTAGCGGCTGCATGCGTAGCGTGCGCCACAGACGAAACTTAACTGTGGTTAAGGCAAAACAGCTGCTAAATCCTTGCTCTTCGATCGCCCCCACCTGCTGTGTACCAGGATTTGAGTACGTGCCATGATTGGTCTATTAAATGTCGATTTGTCGATCAGAATTAAAGGAAATCCGAAACTCATTTCCGGATCGTTGAGTCTCGGCGCTGCTTCACAGACGTTGCTGAAACCGGGATTTATCGGATGAATTTAGGTTTCTGGGAAACTGCCAACCTACCCCTCCCCTAAGCCAACATTAACACTTACTTCTCGTTTATGGCAAAATGTTGATTTAGGGAATGGGTAGGTGGGCAGTTTCCCACACACCTAAATTGATCCGATTTATATACGTACTAGATTCGCGGACAGTACAAAAAAGTAATTTGATAATGTTTTGGAATGTTCCATCACTAAATGAGTTCGTCCAAAGTATTGAAATATGCGGATTCATAACTCAATACAATAGCTAAAATCTATTTGAACTCACACTATCAATAAAATACTTCCAATACTGAGTCTCCTACTTCATGATTCTGATGAACTGTTACAGCCATTGTCACATGCGCATCTGGATGTAAAAACCATAGTCTACGAGGAAACAGATTGTAACAGAAACAAAAAATTGAATCGAATAAACCAACTCGTGTATGTTACGGAAAGAAATCTTCCAAGTCGGAGCTGCGCAGCCCCAAAACTGTCCCAGATTATACACTAATAGCAGGGTGCAGTCCAAGAACACTATCAATTGCGATATTTAGCCATCTTACACTCTAAAATTGCGGCTTTCCATATCTTGGAAGTGCTCAAAAGAAGTAATCTGTTTCATGAGCTGAACCTAATGTGCTGAATTAAAAATATCAAAAGCTTCATATATTTCTTGTTAGAACTACTCATCCACTATTGTCGCCTATGTTTGGGCAGGGAATTTTGGGATGCCCATCTTTTCACGTGCCGATTTTAATGCATAAATTTAAGGTGATAGCATGTTCAGGAATTTTAACATTTATACTAAAACGTATTAGATGCGAATTATTAGATCAGCGTCCGATTAAGCAGAAGTATTTTTTATTAAAAGAGGTCCTCCTAATTTGAATTAAGTTGTGCTCATGAAACATTCGGTATTTGAACCTGGCCTTGAAAAAGTTTGAAACAGAACAACATCTTGATTGGACTTGGATAACTTGTCAAAAAAAAGAGTAAAAAAACGGTTATTCGTCAAAACCTTACATAGGCTGAATTTTTTGGTTCGTAACGTTCTGTTACTCCGCTGCCTGTATTTCCTGGATACTGGGATTCGTCACATTTAAGTGTGATCTCCACTGATCTGTAAAAAAGGAAAAAATGACACTAAATAAAGGCTTGAAAAATCAAATGAGCTGGTTTGAGGCTGAGGAGGAAAAAAACCACAAAGCTGTCGCTGTTTTTTCCCTTAAATTGCCAAACCACTTTACTTAATATCTTTCTCACACGCGAAAGTGACTTCATGATCTTCCTGCATGGTAACATTAGAACCGGGTAAAGTAACACGAGCAAAACTTAACTGAACTTTAGTCATTGATTATGTTGAGTAAAAGATTGGTTTTAATGACTCTGAAGTTGAACATTTTAACAAAATGAATCACAGGTTTTGTATTTTCAATGATCGCACAATAAGATTTCGACCTGACAGATTCAGGATTTAATGAATTCACTCGAAATGTTGACTCATTACATTGTCAATGCATTTTCCGCTGATCAGATTAACCCAAATAAACACCTGAAATTTAGTTACATACCGTTCGTAGTCCTTGCTGTCAGTAACTGACTGGTAGATGATGGTGGTTGTACCATCCTTGTTAACTTTAAATTTAGAGGTCTTCTGCGCACATGGGTTGTTTTCATCTGTAGAATGCAAATTTTTCTGGCACATCTTAAATAGAAAAAAAAAAACAAAACAACCACAACAACAAACAACAAAACAAGAAAAAGAAATTATTGCGAAACATGGGCTTAATTGCAGTTCTGATGTTTCTAGCGATTGTATTACATAAATTCTAGACTTAGAAGAGAGCGAATCACAGTAAAACCGCCTGCAATAAAATAGGCTGCATACTAAAGGAAAGAAAGTGTCAGTAGCAAGGCTTTTTCTAGAGGTACGCACGTCTTTTCCGAGTACACCATAACCTCAGTTCTCCGACGACGTTTTCACATGATTTTATTTGCCTTTTTTATCAATTGGGTTGTCAAATTGTGATTGTAGTCTTGTTATGTTAAACTCGTATCAATCTAATAATGGCGCAAAATAAGAGAGTTATTTTTCCTGAGATCGTATAAAAACCGCCTTTCCATTTTGACAGTTTTTTTTTATACCTTTGTTTGGAAGCACACAGTTTTAGTCAACTATCTATAAACGATGTTCTTCGGCTTTGGTTGATTGAAAGGGTTTTGATATATGGGTGTCGTTTATCCGGGCATCAAAAGGTTCGTTCAAAGAATAATACACCTGATGAAGCTAAAATATTGTGCCAGTCCGTGGTTTCAGAACGGCTCAAGAATTTCCCCTAAACGCGTTACGCCTCATTTTCACCGTTTTGCAGCTTGAGTTTTTAAGGGTATTAAACTAAAAAGAAACCTCTGACATTTGGGCTTTTATTTAAAAGCAAATTGATATCGTAGGCTATGAAACATGGCGCTGTTTGTTTTCCCCTTTTTTGCTTCCACTTTCCAGCTATCACTAAGTGAAACGAGTTAAACGCTCTCCGAATTCGAATGCAGAGGAAATTTTACTCCCAAAAGTCAGTTTCTATAGGTAAAAAGGTTCACTTAAATCCAGCCGAATTATAGCTCATGAAAACCTGGATGTTATTAACACGACAATTTGAAAACAAACTGCTTAAATATGACTATTGGTAGGTGATGTGACAGCTTGACCTCCGTGTTTTATACTCTCATAACCTCTACTCTGAACCAATCAGACTGTGTGTTTTATCCGAACTTCATTGTAATTATAACTGAAAATGTTAATAACTTACCAGCATATTGAGACATTCAGAGTTTTCGCTGAAGCTCGTACAAGGATTCCAATCGAATGTATACTGCTTACTGCCAACAGTTGGAATGTTTTTAAAACTATAGAAAATTAACGTACTAGTTAGTTGACCCAGGGATTGTTTTGAAAAAGCCATATTGAAACTGTAACAATCAATAAATTAATTAACAATTAATGCTCTGCAGCCTCCCTCGCTTGTGGGATGCAACCTAAAAGTTAGATATTCCAGAAATAGTAGCCTTTTCAAGGGTCCCTTATTCTTGACACCTGCCATCTTTGCACGCACCTAAGGACTGATGGGATAAAAGCGATGTCACGTGGCTTCTCAGGGGGCAAATAAGTACTAAAATCTCCCAATACAAAAAATCGCTGTTGAGTTTGTTTATCCTACACAACAGAAAATGAAGAACTTGTGATCTTAAAAACGATAATGACAAATTATGGGTAGAAGTGATTATTTTACGTTTTGAGACGCAGTAGCAACCGTAGATGTTCTCACATCAAGCAATAATGACGTAGAACTTTTCGAAACTAGAAATGTGTATTTGGCGGAACTTAAATCGTCCTCTAGTTTTAAGAGAACATAATATCTCGGCCGCGATTTCTCCTATGCGCCGTTCAGCTATTGGCCAAAAGCTTTGCCCTGTTCCCAGGTCTTTGCGAAAGTTAACTCGGCTCAGTTTCCTTATTTTTGTAAAGTGGCGAGAAGTGGTGTTGCGTGACTTATCTCACTCTGTCTTTACATGGGAAATCTGGGTAGAAGGTTACTGCGTGACGACACTAAAACGGCTGTGAGGGAAACAATTTTTTTCTGGCATGTGTAGGAGGGGCCAGTCAGTTTTTTGCGGAGCGAAGAAAAAAACTTCGAGGACGAGTGAGTACGAAGGAAAAAAAGGGGAAGAGGTTTTTTTTTTTTTAAAAAAACTTTTTTTAATAAAAGGACATTGTAAGCCTTTAAATGGTGAAGGAAAAATACCCTTATACTTAGCTTCGAAGTACATTTGCAAATTTCTCGCCTTTGACCACACGATGAAAGATACCCTCCCATCCGGTTCTCGCGCGCATTTATCCCCCTATCCGTTCACCTTCAAACGTTGCTAACTACTCATCCACTATTGTCGCCTATGTTTGGGCAGGGAATTTTGGGATGCCCATCTTTTCACGTGCCGATTTTAATGCATAAATTTAAGGTGATAGCATGTTCAGGAATTTTAACATTTATACTAAAACGTATTAGATGCGAATTATTAGATCAGCGTCCGATTAAGCAGAAGTATTTTTTATTAAAAGAGGTCCTCCTAATTTGAATTAAGTTGTGCTCATGAAACATTCGGTATTTGAACCTGGCCTTGAAAAAGTTTGAAACAGAACAACATCTTGATTGGACTTGGATAACTTGCCAAAAAAAAGAGCAAAAAACGGTTATTCGTCAAAACCTTACATAGGCTGAATTTTTTGGTTCGTAAAGTTCTGTTACTCCGCTGCCTGTATTTCCTGGATACTGGGATTCGTCATATTTAAGTGTGATCTCCACTGATCTGTAAAAAAGGAAAAAATGACACTAAATAAAGGCTTGAAAAATCAAATGAGCTGGTTTGAGGCTGAGGAGGAAAAAAACCACAAAGCTGTCGCTGTTTTTTCCCTTAAATTGCCAAACCACTTTACTTAATATCTTTCTCACACGCGAAAGTGACTTCATGATCTTCCTGCATGGTAACATTAGAACCGGGTAAAGTAACACGAGCAAAACTTAACTGAACTTTAGTCATTGATTATGTTGAGTAAAAGATTGGTTTTAATGACTCTGAAGTTGAACATTTTAACAAAATGAATCACAGGTTTTGTATTTTCAATGATCGCACAATAAGATTTCGACCTGACAGATTCAGGATTTAATGAATTCACTCGAAATGTTGACTCATTACATTGTCAATGCATTTTCCGCTGATCAGATTAACCCAAATAAACACCTGAAATTTAGTTACATACCGTTCGTAGTCCTTGCTGTCAGTAACTGACTGGTAGATGATGGTGGTTGTACCATCCTTGTTAACTTTAAATTTAGAGGTCTTCTGCGCACATGGGTTGTTTTCATCTGTAGAATGCAAATTTTTCTGGCACATCTTAAATAGAAAAAAAAAAACAAAACAACCACAACAACAAACAACAAAACAAGAAAAAGAAATTATTGCGAAACATGGGCTTAATTGCAGTTCTGATGTTTCTAGCGATTGTATTACATAAATTCTAGACTTAGAAGAGAGCGAATCACAGTAAAACCGCCTGCAATAAAATAGGCTGCATACTAAAGGAAAGAAAGTGTCAGTAGCAAGGCTTTTTCTAGAGGTACGCACGTCTTTTCCGAGTACACCATAACCTCAGTTCTCCGACGACGTTTTCACATGATTTTATTTGCCTTTTTTATCAATTGGGTTGTCAAATTGTGATTGTAGTCTTGTTATGTTAAACTCGTATCAATCTAATAATGGCGCAAAATAAGAGAGTTATTTTTCCTGAGATCGTATAAAAACCGCCTTTCCATTTTGACAGTTTTTTTTTATACCTTTGTTTGGAAGCACACAGTTTTAGTCAACTATCTATAAACGATGTTCTTCGGCTTTGGTTGATTGAAAGGGTTTTGATATATGGGTGTCGTTTATCCGGGCATCAAAAGGTTCGTTCAAAGAATAATACACCTGATGAAGCTAAAATATTGTGCCAGTCCGTGGTTTCAGAACGGCTCAAGAATTTCCCCTAAACGCGTTACGCCTCATTTTCACCGTTTTGCAGCTTGAGTTTTTAAGGGTATTAAACTAAAAAGAAACCTCTGACATTTGGGCTTTTATTTAAAAGCAAATTGATATCGTAGGCTATGAAACATGGCGCTGTTTGTTTTCCCCTTTTTTGCTTCCACTTTCCAGCTATCACTAAGTGAAACGAGTTAAACGCTCTCCGAATTCGAATGCAGAGGAAATTTTACTCCCAAAAGTCAGTTTCTATAGGTAAAAAGGTTCACTTAAATCCAGCCGAATTATAGCTCATGAAAACCTGGATGTTATTAACACGACAATTTGAAAACAAACTGCTTAAATATGACTATTGGTAGGTGATGTGACAGCTTGACCTCCGTGTTTTATACTCTCATAACCTCTACTCTGAACCAATCAGACTGTGTGTTTTATCCGAACTTCATTGTAATTATAACTGAAAATGTTAATAACTTACCAGCATATTGAGACATTCAGAGTTTTCGCTGAAGCTCGTACAAGGATTCCAATCGAATGTATACTGCTTACTGCCAACAGTTGGAATGTTTTTAAAACTATAGAAAATTAACGTACTAGTTAGTTGACCCAGGGATTGTTTTGAAAAAGCCATATTGAAACTGTAACAATCAATAAATTAATTAACAATTAATGCTCTGCAGCCTCCCTCGCTTGTGGGATGCAACCTAAAAGTTAGATATTCCAGAAATAGTAGCCTTTTCAAGGGTCCCTTATTCTTGACACCTGCCATCTTTGCACGCACCTAAGGACTGATGGGATAAAAGCGATGTCACGTGGCTTCTCAGGGGGCAAATAAGTACTAAAATCTCCCAATACAAAAAATCGCTGTTGAGTTTGTTTATCCTACACAACAGAAAATGAAGAACTTGTTATCTTAAAAACGATAATGACAAATTATGGGTAGAAGTGATTATTTTACGTTTTGAGACGCAGTAGCAACCGTAGATGTTCTCACATCAAGCAATAATGACGTAGAACTTTTCGAAACTAGAAATGTGCATTTGGCGGAACTTAAATCGTCCTCTAGTTTTAAGAGAACATAATATCTCGGCCGCGATTTCTCCTATGCGCCGTTCAGCTATTGGCCAAAAGCTTTGCCCTGTTCCCAGGTCTTTGCGAAAGTTAACTCGGCTCAGTTTCCTTATTTTTGTAAAGTGGCGAGAAGTGGTGTTGCGTGACTTATCTCACTCTGTCTTTACATGGGAAATCTGGGTAGAAGGTTACTGCGTGACGACACTAAAACGGCTGTGAGGGAAACAATTTTTTTCTGGCATGTGTAGGAGGGGCCAGTCAGTTTTTTGCGGAGCGAAGAAAAAAACTTCGAGGACGAGTGAGTACGAAGGAAAAAAAGGGGAAGAGGTTTTTTTTTTTTTAAAAAAACTTTTTTTAATAAAAGGACATTGTAAGCCTTTAAATGGTGAAGGAAAAATACCCTTATACTTAGCTTCGAAGTACATTTGCAAATTTCTCGCCTTTGACCACACGATGAAAGATACCCTCCCATCCGGTTCTCGCGCGCATTTATCCCCCTATCCGTTCACCTTCAAACGTTGCTCTACTTCTTGTGTTTGCATAGGCCGGCGTGACAGCCTAACCCACAAAAGAATTAGCATCGGCATTTTACCTTGACGTTTGACTATAAGAATTTGTATGAGGAAAAAATCATTGGTTCGTGAAGGAATATAAATAAGAATCAGCTAACCTCACTTTTAAAAGTTGCGTGATTCTTCTTGCGGTTCCCGAGTCGATTTATGGCCATTTTATGTTTTTTTTTTCAACTGGTTTCCTCCCTGTATGGACGGATTATAGAGAGAGCAAACCTGTTTACAGTAAAACCTATACAATTCCTATAAATCGCTCCCCATACAAACTTTTATTTCGGAGGTTACGCAGCCATGCCGATACTCATATTTCGAGATTGGTTCGAGACCCCGGGGTTTTGCTGTTAATGTGCTGTGCTCATAATGTTATGAAGGGTCACTGAAAATCACTTTGCGTAGTTCCTCTTGAGTTTTGATTTTACCTAGGTATTTTTTTGCGAAGTATTAATTAAAGGATGGGTCCCACAGGCCTTTGAGTGGTTAGTCCTGTTTAAGTCAGAGGAGAGAGAAATACACCCTGCTTATCCCCTACCGTTTCGACCCTTGCTACGCCGATTGCAAAATTATTTACACAGACTGATCGAATTACTATCACAAACAAGCAGACTCACAGATGGGGTAAACAATCGTTTATTGCGTTAAAACCTTAGCACCTGACAACCCGGGAGAGGCGGGTGGGGTGCTTTCGCTTACAAGGAGTCTCAACAATGAACTACTCGATACAAAATGCTCAATTAAAAAAGCTTATCTGGTACAAGCTATCTGTTACGAAAATTCCGTGCATACATATTAATTAAACCCTTTAACGTATACATTAAAACACTCAATTACTATCACAAACAAGCAGACTCACAGATGGGGTAAACAATCGTTTATTGCGTTAAAACCTTAGCACCTGACAACCCCAAACCCAAAGGGGAAAAGGTTAAAGAGTGGGTGAAAGTCTGCTTGTGATTGAATTGAGGATTTTAAATTTATTGGCGGTGGACAGAGTGAGATAAACTAAGTAAGCATCACTCTTCCAGTCGCCTTGTGCTTTAATAAATGCTGTAGGTGCATCACGGCTGAAAGCAAAGGTCGCGCCACCTCTACGAAAGCTGTGCGAGGAATAGTGCGTCGGATTGAAGCCAATAGCCGAGAGCGATGCTTTAATAAATGCGTTATACTGGTGAGCCAGGATAGGCCTATAAGCGTCCTGCGTTTTACAAACAAATAAAGGAGAGCGAGGTGGTAGCGGTACACTGGCTAAATACTGTGTGAGCGCAGTCACTGGGCAGAGAGGAGAACCCGGAATACAGGGCAAGGGAATTTCTAACTGCCTGCGCGATAGTTTTGGTATGTGTGATACGTAACAGAGCCCCCTGTGAGGTGAAAGTCACGTTGGAGGGCGTTAAATGACAAGCCTGTGGATTGACGATGTCAGACAACTTATGGGGAACTAAATTGGATATACGCAAGAACGAAAAGAAGGCTACTAAAAATAAAGCGCGCATACAAACATGCAAATGATTGTTGAAATCGAATTGACTAAACAATTTCAAAAGAATCTCAACGGTGATCGGTTCTTTCCGGGCTACATAATCGCCCATAATCCTACGTACCGCTCGTTTGGCAAAATAAACATCATAATCTTGAAGGAAAGCGAGACTGGTCCCAAACGAGCGATTAATGTGCGTGATGATGCCTAAATAATTAACCACTGAACGATACGAAGATAATGATCGCGACAAAAAAACTAGATAAAGTAAATACATGGGTTTAGAAACCGGAAAAGGATTAAACTGGAAATATTGACAGAACAACAAATAACTATGCAAATAAGTTCTCATGGAGCGCTTCGTAGAATCACAAAATGCGCGAGTCTGAAGAGATCCCAGATACTGCTGCAAAGACTGCAAGGCGTCGTTGGGATCTGCGAATGACATAGTGAAACGAATTAGGGAATTCATGAGAAGAAGGTACCCGCCAACTCTGTGAAAGAAAATATAACCGATATAAAGTAATAAGGGAGCGAATGTCGCTAATAGGCGGTGAAAGCGAACATCGAATCATCAGGGAAAACTTGGCGGAGATCTAGAGAGGTGACCGCATGCTCCACGTACGCCGCATAAGTGTCAGCCAAATGATAGCGGCTTAAAGAATCAGCTAACACATTGGTTTTACCACAGATATGGCGCGCGAATAAATGGATATTGTTTAGAGCTAACAACAACCAAATTTCTCGGAGACAACACTGCATGAAATGATCTGAAGACCGCTGATGGTTAAGCGCGTATACGCTGACCTGATTGTCTGTCAGTATCTCAATGGTGTAGCCACGCAATCGATCTTGCCACAACTTTAAAGATACCAGGATGGTGAGCAACTCTAACTGGTTAATGTTCAGGTTTTGACTAGTAATAAAAGGCGGAAATGGAGCGTGGAAAAATTCTCCAAAACAAACCGCACCACAGGCACCAAGGCAAGCATCACATGCGAATAAATCGGGATTGGAAACAGTCACGTTCGTCGGAATGACTGACACACCATTGTAGTGTTGAAGGAAATGTTTCCACCAAACGAGGTCCCCGCGAATAGCATCACTGACAGGATACTGCTGATGCCGGGGGCGAGCAAAACATGAACGTAACGCGTTAATCAAACGGCAGCTGAAAGCGCGTCCGGGACGAACACACGCAGTAACAAAGGCTAGCTTTCCTAATAGTTGTTGTAACTCTCGCTTAGAGAAATGTGTTTTATGTAGCCATAAAGAGAGGAGATCCTGGAGTTCTTCCAGGCGGAAGTCTGGAACAGTTAATGTCATGTTTAAAGTGTTGACACAAACTCCTAAGCAGGTCATTTCGTGTGTTGGCGGAGTGTCTTTGTCGGGCGATGATTGCAATCCGAGCTCTGAAAACAACCGTGTCATGCGATCGAAAGAATGTTCGGCGAGTTCTTGAGTTTCTGCCCCGTAAAAATCATCAATATAGACATCTACTAAGATGCCTTCCTCATTCAGGATATAAGAAACCGCTTTAGTTGTCCGCTGGCAGGCTAGAGTAGCCGAACGGAGACCAAACGGCATGACGGTATGGAAATAAAACTGTCCCTCTATGCACATGCCGAGTAGGTGGTAATCGTTAGGGTCCACAGGAATTTGCCTGTAAGCACGCTTAAGGTCTTTTTTAAAAACGAGGCAGCCGGGTCCCTTGAGGTTAATAAACTCCACAAGTCTATCAACGCCCGGTAAACGAAGGTGAAAAGGTTGGCTTAAATATTCATCGCGTGCGATGCCGTCGTTAACAGATTGCCCGGGCGGAAAACTCAGGTCGTGGACCACGCGCGGAACACTCGAATCGCGTTTAGCCACGCTCTGCAGGGGTGAAATTACACAGTCTGTGCTGAAAGGATTGCACTGAAAGGGCCCTATTACCGCTTTGTATTGGAGCTCTTTGGCGATGTAATCACGAAGTAATACGGGATTCTCACGAGCAGAGGGATGATTTTTAAGCGTTGAGCGAGGAAGTCGATCAGCTGAATGATTGATAGGCCAGCCATATTGCAAAAAGGCAGTAACAATGATATCATTATAGTCTTTGAGATAGTAATTCCAACGTTCAAGATTAAACGCTGTCGTCAAAGTGCGTTTTGCTCCCTGAAAATTGTACTGGGGAACTGCTCTCACGGAGTCGGCAAGAGCGACTAAGAATGTTTGTCATTCCTTAGTCGAATCCTGGTTAGTGGGCGTGCTGGGGATAGGGAATTTCCTTTTGGGACAATGCAACATGGGGTGATCCGTCGTATCACACACGCGACACCGGTGGTTGCTAGAATAGCTGGCGCTGGTGGTATGGCAATCACATTTGGCGGTGTAATTCCAATCACGGCAATATTTCTCCTTCTTGTCGCGGTTGGATCTTTGTAACTGTGACTGCTGCATGCTTTGATTTTGTTGCGTGCCCGACGTGCGTGGGTGCGTGCGTAAGTCTTGATGTGTAAAAAATGTTTGTGATCTCTCACGAATCGCATCACAGTCAGACCACGAAAGTCGGCCTTGGTCGATTGCCGTGGCAATCGATAAGTGAAAACTGCGTACGCTAGACCAGTTGTAGGTAGATGCGCGGGCCATTAGCAATTGGAGATGCTTGGTAAGACCTGGCCTGCTTGCATCTGGTTGCTGTTTTTGGAATTCTAAGAAACCATTAACGAAATCGGGAAGATCTAAGGACTCATAAGTAATCGTACCTTTAGACGAGAAGACAAAGTTGTTTGGGAGGGTTGACCCAGGTTTCTTCTTTTCTCGGAGTTGTTCTAACGTCGGAATGCCTGACCCGAGGGCGCTTCCAGGGGTGGAAGTGAGAGCGGCCTGTAACAGGCGTGGCTGTTCTAAGGAAGGTGTCTGCGGTTCGGGAGAAACACTCTTTATTTTTGCCAACTCCAGCTGGGCTTTAGTGATTTCCAGTTCCATTTTGAGGTTTTCATTCTTTACTCTTTCGAGTTCCAGGAGGGATTCTATAGAGGACGCGGGTGGTGGTTGAGTCTTGGAAGATTTCCCCGCCGTTTTCGCTGCAAGTCGTTTGGATTTTTTCGGACGGGCGCCGGGTTCCGTGCCGTCGGCGTCCATGGATGCCATAAGCGCAGATAAATTTTCAATGTCGTAGACGTAATCATCTTTGTCTAATTTACTGGCCATGACGACGATAAAAGAAAGGATAAAGGAGGTGCTAGGTAAAAGGAGTATAGCACGAATTGTCGATCGCGGGTGCTTTCGCTTACAAGGAGTCTCAACAATGAACTACTCGATACAAAATGCTCAATTAAAAAAGCTTATCTGGTACAAGCTATCTGTTACGGAAATTCCGTGCATACATATTAATTAAACCCTTTAACGTATACATTAAAACACTCCTCTGATATTCTATGATAATCAGCAGAAAGTGCACAGATTCATGTCATCTCACACTACCCGCGTGAACAGCGAATAAAAATACTTACGCTGCCTTCGAGCCTCCATCGATTTCTCGTAAGTTGAAGATTTCCCCATTGCTTTTTTTGCATGAACAGTCATCGATCTTTTCACAGGTCTCTTGCGAAACTCCCGTGAACTCCCCCAAAGGAAATATCCAAATAATAATGAGAACTTTTACTGTATTGATTTGCTTTCCTAGCATTATACGCAACTTCAGTCACCCACCAGAGAATAAGTACGTGAGAATAAACATGGCCTTTCAACCGTCAGTAGTTAAAGTTCAACTAATCCTTGTAAATCAGTGGCTAAGAGTCATATATAATTAGCATCTAAAGGAAGAAACTTGATACAGCATTTTTGAAAAATTTATTCATGTCGGAAATCACTAAGATATTTACATAAGAAGTAATGTTAAAAAATTAAAAGTGTTTTAAAAACACATCCGCAGTAAGTCATGCAATCGCCCATGCCATAAAATACCGCAAGTACCTGTTGCCTCCCCCCAGGAGTACTCTAACAAACCTTTGGTATGTACCTAATTGTGCCAATGGGTCGTTAATCTGGTTCTTTAGGCATTTCCTTCAAAATGAAACTCTTTTCCACTACAACTTTTTTCTTTACATATCGATGTTGTAAATCTCTTGATCTTGATTCCTGCTCAGCATTCAGGTTTTATCAGGTTTTGACTTCCTTTTCGAAACTAAAACTTTTTGTTATCTATCATTTATTACCCCATTTTCTCTCTTCATTTTAAAAATTACCGCTCAATGTAAACACCAGTTACTCATGGTTACCATCCTCATTCCCAGAGCTCTCCTGGGGGCAAGGCTGCATGGATACAGGATTAGTCGCAGTCTGCCTTTTATCTTAAAATCCATCCAGTTTTCAGTTATCCCAGCTAGCGCGATTGCAAGTAATAACGTTACGTTACAAAAAGGGATTTGGAGGAGACAATTTTTTTCTTCTCAGGCTTACACCTCACCTTCGTGGTTTCGCCGCTTGTCGCTTTTAAAATACGTGCTTGGGTTATGGGCGGAGTAACTTTGCAAACAAAAGTAAAAGAATGCTGACACTCGTGCCGGCAGAGAGGTGCTAGCCTGTGTACAGCTGATAGAGGCAAAGCCTGCCTGTAAAAATGCGTCTACTGAAATTTTTTTTTGCAGTCAGAGCGAACTCAATATGGGAATTTTAGAGTGCGGGGAAGCGTATGCGCAATATGAGAAGTTGGTTAACTTTAAAGGACTTCTAATTGTTAATTTATATCTCGCTATAACCATTTTTACTACATTTCTGGCAGAGAGAAGTGCATCCAGACTTCAATCCTTGGCACGTGAACAAAACTCCATCCTGCGCAAATTGAACAAAAAATAAGATTAGTTTTTAATCACTCTTTTCTTGACAAGTGGTTTGGGTGCAAAATTTTCCTCTATCCACTTAAGCGAAATATATACATATCTGATGCACTACCTGTACCAGCCACGATCACCTTCCGCTAGGTTCAGGGTAGAACTATCTTTTTTTCTCCATGTAAATGGATCCAAATTACTAACTATTGTGATCAAGAAAGTTATAAAATAGATGTAAGGAACCACTATATTACGAACTCCCGTATCGCGAATAGCTTGTTTTTGTCTTAGTAAT